TGCTCTTAGATGACAAGACCTGATGTAAAAAAAAGATCAGTTGTCCCAAATTAATATATAAATCTAATGCAATTCCAATGGGAATCCCAATTTTTTTTGTAATGAGTAAAATGATCTTGGAGTTCATTTATTTATATGGAAAAATAAATGTCAGGTAAAGCAAATTATAAAAAAATAATCGTTGACTTGCCTTACCAAATAATTTTTTTAAAAAAGATTTTATTTATTTGACAGAGAGAGAGATAGCAAGAGCAGGAACACAAGCAGGGGGAGTGGGAGAGGGAGAAGCAGGCTTCCTGCTGAGCAGGGAGCCCGATGTGGGGCTCCATCCCAGGACCCTGGGATCATGACCTGAGCCGAAGGCAGATGCTTAACGACTGAGCCACCCAGGTGCCCCGCCTTACCAAATATCTTTAAAACAGAGAAGAACATCTATAATTTGTGATTTGGGAATAGAAATAGAGAGATCAGAATGGAACATAGGGCCCATAAGAGATCTCTGTGTACATGGGAATTTAATGTGTGACAAAAATAATGTTCAAATTCTATGAAGGAAAAGGATGGCTAGGTAATGAATAGGGCAGGCACAAGCAGCTTTTCATCTGGAAGATAAACAAATCAAACACTCCCTCATGCAACATATAATAAGTTCCAAATGAATTACACACTTAAAAATAATGAAAGCCTTAGAAGAAAATTTAGGGAAACATGTATATAAAATCTTGGGGCTGCAGAGAGCTTTTAAAGCAGTGCAAGAAATCAGGTGCCTGGGTGGCTCAGTTGGTTAAGTGACTGCCTTTGGCTCAGGTCATGATCCTGGAGTCCCGGGATCGAGTTCCACATCGGGCTTCCTGCTCAGCGGGGAGTCTGCTTCTCCCTCTGAGCCTCTTCCCTCTCGTGCTTTCTATCTCTCATTCTCTCTCTGAAATAAATAAATAAAATCTTCAAAAAAAAAAAGGCAGTGCAAGAAATCTAGAAATAAATAAGGAACAAGATCTATTTGACTTCATAAATTTAAAAATGTTTCAATAGCAAAAGTGACCGCAAAGTCAGAAGACAAAAAAGATAGATGGGAAAAATACTCAAAATTCACACGACAAATAAAAATCTAATATCTATTATGTGAAAACTCTTACTAATTGATAAGGAAAAGACAGATGACCCAATGGAAAAATATGCAAAGCCGAGGAATAGATAATCCCAAAGCAGCAAATCTAAATGTACAGTAAGTGCATGCAGAGATGCTCAGTAGCGCTAGCAATCAACAAAAGTAACTATGAAATATCACTTGTTACTCACCTGACGGGCAAGAACTAAAAAGTGTTAACATTCACTATAGGCTGGGATACGGGAGAGGAGGCACTCATGCCATATTCTTGGGAGAGATGAGCGTTTTTGTGAAACAGTCTAGTTGTATCTGCTAAAACCCCACATAATTAAGAACACCAATGTGTAAAGCTCTATGTACTAAGCTGTTTGTTATAGCATTGTTTGCAGTGTCAAAATAATGGAAATAGAGGGAATGTACATCAATACAGAAATTATTAACATAGGTCCTTCTTACCTCAGATACTATGCAGCCATTAAAAATAATTTATTTGATCTGTACCAATTAACTTGGAAAGATTGCCATGATGTATTATTAAGTGAAAGAAATAAGATGCAGGGAGGTCTCATTTGAATCTACAATGACATGTATATTCTGTGTATATGTTTGTGTATGATTATATGAGGATGGAGAGAGGAATGGAAGAACACTAGCAGATTAACACTGATCGGGACTGGGGAGAACACTCCAACTCTCTGCTCAAATGGCCACCATAAAAACATGAGTAACAAGGATCCAAGTTTTAAAAAAGAAAGTAAAACACTTATGCTATAATGTAGGTGAAACAGTGATGCAAATAGGTCCATTAACAATCGTGTGAAACATTCAAGAGAAAAAAGATTGGCAGGCAACGCAGCTGAATGATCATCACGGTTGTTTAAGTAGAGGCATTATAGTTGTTTTCTTCCTCTATATTTTCTAAATTTTCTCTAATGTAGTTTTGTTGCTTTTGTAAATAAATAAAATAAAAATTCTAATTTACTTTATATGAACCACACACTTTTTATTATGTCTTGAAATCAGTTACCATAGGTATATATGTAAGCTTGAGAATGTCCTAACTCTGAAAATCTGTACATTTACATTTTATCTATGACACATGAGAAGTATTTTCGGTTTGTTTCAATTAGTTGTAGATTAGACAACTAAATCCCTAGGTAATAATTATCCATAAAAACATGGCTTTACATATTTCAAGATTTCTTTTTCCCCTAAACAGTAACAGACATCACTTCGAACAGTAATTTTCAAAGCTGCGTGGCATAGGGCAGGTCATCTCTCTTCCCCTCCCTTGGCCTCAGTTGCTTCACCTATAAATGAAGAAGCTGGATGAAGTAATTTTCTCATGGCCTTTGGCTCTAACATTCCGTGATTTAATTTACATACATCATAGAATCCATTAGATATCAAACAAGTGAACAATTGCTAAGGAGAAGAAAGTTTTCATCTGAGTAATACTTACATCAGCTGTAAAAGACATTCAGATAACTAAAGAAGATGCCCCATCTTGATGTAACTTTCATTTTCACATGAAAAATGTACAAGATTTCAAAGACCATATAGCCTTGGGGGCCTGGGTGGCTCAGTTGGTTAAGCGACTGCCTTCGGCTCAGGTCATGATCCTGGAGTCCCAGGATCGAGTCCCGCATTGGGCTCCCTGCTCAGCAGGAAGTCTGCTTCTCCCTCTGACCCTCTCCCATCTTGTGCTCTCTCTCCTTCATTCTCTCTCTCAAATAAATAAATAAAATCTTAAAAAAAAAGACTGTATAGCCTTGATTATCTTGATATCTTTCATTTATAATTAAATAGCTGTTGAACATTGCTTTTTCATTCATGTTTATACTTCTGCCCCTGCCAACTTATTATTTTGCTTTACAGACCTCAATATATGAATGAAAATGTTTTTTTTTTAAGATTTATTTATTTATTTGAGAGAGAGAAAGTGAGAGCATGAGTGGGAGGGGCAGAGGGAGAGGGAGAGAGAATCTCAAGCAGACTCCATGCTGAGCATGGAGTGGACCTGGGGCTCAATCTCATGACCCTGAAATCATGACCTGAGTTGAAACCAAGAGTTGGATGTTTAACTGATTGCACCAGCCAGGCGCCCCTAAATGAAAAGTTTTAATTCTACTTTCTTGAGGTGTAACTTGTAGAGAATAAAATGCACCCAATGAAAACATACATTTTTATGAGTTTTGACAAATATATGCACCTGTATAACCACCAGCAGAATTAAGCAATAGAACACTTCTATCACACTAAAAAGTTCCCTGGGCCTCTTCCTAGTTAAGCCCCACCTCCTATCCTAGGTAATTACTGATCTGCATTTTCTCACTATAGGTTAGATATGTCCTTTCTAGAGCAATGAACACATTTTTGACGTGTATTTTCTCAATCTTGGATAGAGTTAATATATTTTGATAGTTTCAATCAGATTTCTCAGTTGCACACAACAGAAAAGAGCTCTGGCTGATTTCAGCAGCAAAGGAGTTTGCTGAAAGGATGTGGGCAACTCATAGAATTGCTGGGAGACTGCTCTCCCTCTGCCATTCCCTCTGCTTGTGCTCTTTTGTCTATCTGTCAAATAAATAAATAAAATCTTAAAAAAAAAAAAAGAATTGCTGGGAGACTGGAGAACAAGACTGGGATTATGCAGCCAGTGACAGTGCCCCAAATCATAGAGCACAGCTCTTCTGGTGAGGAAAGCACCACAAGCAGCACTTGGAGTTACCTCAACTCTATACCAGATCATGGTCACCTCCACCACCCTTGCTTCCACTGCTGTTTTAAGAACTCTGTTTCTTAAAAAGTACAAAGTACATCCAGTATATCTGTCCTAGGAAATCCTTCTGCAACTGCCAGTATCAACTGGAGTGAGTAAATCTGAGTGGCATATCCTAGGTCATGTGGCCTTCATGCCTAAGCTGCAAGAGAGGCTAGAAGAACCTGCCACTTTCGGCCTCTAGAGTAAGAGGCTTAACCAAGCTTCATAAGATGGGAGGATTCCCCCATCATTGGAAAGGGTTAAAATTCTAGGTGGTCAAAAAGAGGGCCAATGTCCACAACACTGACGGTTATGTTTGTTTGTTAGATTGCATTCTGAACATGTGGCTTCATGTCTGAAGGTGACTACAACCAGGTCACATTTGGTAACACGTCCTGTGTGTACAGTGGTCTACCAGATGCCGAAAGTGAGAATGAGGTCATCAGGGCATTTACTGTGTCATGAAATAGAAATAGATGTATTGGCCCTCATACTTGCTTAAGATTTTTCTTCTTAAGATGATCTCCCTAAAATATAATCTGTTAATAAAATTAATGGGTCTAAAGTAATTAATTTGATCCAAAAAAGAATGTAATATTAAAAACTGCCATAATTTTAAGTCATGAATTCCATATTTATTTACAAAATACTTACCTTTAACATTTATTTATTTTTTTATTTATTTTATTTTTTATTTATTTGAGAGAGAGAATGAGAGAGAGAGCACATGAGAGGGGGGAGGGTCAGAGGGAGAAGCAGGCTTCCCACCGAGCAGGGAGCTGGATGAGGGGCTTGATCCCAGGACCCTGGGACCATGACCTGAGCTGAAGGCAGACACTAATGACTGAGCCACCCAGGCACCCTACCTTTAACTTTTAAACTGAATATTAACTTGATATTTTTACTCTTCTGAAATTACACAAACCTCAAGTTGCCTCTACTAGCTGTGTTCATTTCAATTATTTTAAGTTAACACATAAAGTCAGTCCAGTTATTTCACCAGTTCTACCTGTTATCCCTTATTCTTGATTTCAATTGCCAGGTCCAGAGAAGAAGGGGTGGCCTGATCCAGGGACAATGAGGATGTAATGTTGAAGAATCAGCTGGAGGAAAGAAGCAACAGGCACCATGGAAAAGACCAAAACAAAGCAAGGTTAGATTTTTTCCTATGTCTTGCTTTAGATCTCGGGATTTAAGAAACGTAGGTTTCAGTCTTCTCTTGGCATCGTATCAAAACATGAGAATATGTTACCTTGACTATTCTCATCACCTTATCATCATATAATGACCATGAAGAGCACAGACTTGGTGCTGGAGAAACAGGAAATGCTATATATATAATTTGGTTTGAGTAGTTATCTTATTTTTCTTAGCAATAACTTTAGGACTTGTTTCAGAACAACCTGCTGAATAAGGCCAAGATACAGATTCAACTAATAAACATCCAACATCTTCTAGAAACATAAGTGCTCTCTCTTTTCATCTTTACCATATCGAATCAACCATATAGAAATAGTTCTGTTATCACCTCCAATTTACAGAAAAGGAAACATTCATAGAGGAGTCAGGCTACGATCACAAAATGTCAAAGTTTGATCTGGGATCCTGGTTTCTGTTCTCAGGTTCTGGTTCTTGCCATGATACCAGGCTGTTGGGACAAAGTATAAAATGGGCTAAGTAATCTTTACCCAAGCTTGTGTGAAGAGTTTTGGTAAGGTGAAACCACCTGGATTTTATAGGAACAGCCTTCTGTCTGTATAAGTTCTGGGCTGAGGTCATGTATTATTCATGAACTTAATACACTGAGGCCAGTTCCTCTAAGGAGGGGTTTTCTATACCAGTATGTCTTAAGAGAACAGTATACATATCCACACAACCAAATATTTGCAACTGGTGCTTTCATCTATAAACTGCTTGATTCATACAACATGACACAATGGAAATACAACTAAGTGGATGAGCAATGAGCTGCATGTTTTACATGGATTGTCTTGTCTTCATGGCCAACCAATGTGGTTCTGAAAAGTACTAAGCCAACCTTTTCTTCTCCCCAGTTTGTAAGTGGTTTTTATAACCTACTACTTCCTTTGTATTTGCCCTGTGTTTCATAGTCTCTAGTGTTGCCAATATTCTTTTCTTTCTGCCTGCATCCTTCCCAGAATCTTTCCATTGACAATTCCCTTTACCGACCCTCTTGCCCAGGAAGACAGTAAGATTACCTTAGTTGATCTGGGCAGTGACAGGAGGGGAGAGCTTAGAAGTTTGGCAAGGACATTTTATGCAGGCTTCCTGAAAACAACAGTGACAACCGGACAGGTGTCCAGTGTGGCCTTCCTGAGTATAAAACTACCCCCCCAAGTAAACTCCTGTCAGCCCCAAGAACATGAGGGAAACCCTTCACGGGCATTCCCTTCTGGTTGATTAATGATCACTAATCATTCAGTTTGGTTGAGAAACTTCCCCACTGTGGTAGAACATGTTTTGTTTTGTTTTTTACTACAAGAGTTATATCAGGTAGATATGGTTAGGTTATTAGGATGTGAATATAGAAACCACTTACACCAGCTTATGTTTTGTTCTTGTATCTTTGGTTTCTTGTCATGGAGCCACAGATTCAAGGTCCTATGAGGCCCCTTATTCCTGCATGTGTGTGAAGAGGATAGGGACAGAATGAGTCGCGTTCATTGAACAAAGCTCTTTCTTCCTACAGGAGAGAATGAACATATGCCGATGAATAACCCTTCCACACAGATTTACCAGGTAAAGACAATTAGATTATTTTGAACACTCCTCTGTGTGATGCTGATGACTGTCGCTTACGTATAAAGTTTTCTAGCACTCACAAGTGCCTGCACATCCATCACTGCGTTTGTTCACTTACCAGGACCATGAGGTAGGCAGGGCAGAGAGTGCCGCTCACGTTGCACCTTTGAGAAAACTGTTGAGTGAAGGACAGCTTATCCAGGCTCTAAATTACAGCACGACCACTCCCACGTCCACTCCAGTTTCCTTGCGTGTCGCCATCATCACTCTGGCCATGACACAGTGCGATGCCATCTCCATGAGAGAGGAGGAGAGAGCAAGCTCTGTTTTTCTTGGTTTCCTGTTTCAGCAGGGAGAATTGAGAATTGAAAGCGGGTTAACACTGCAGATGTTCACATAGGGTGATTGAAAAAAATGTTAAGCTCCCTTTAAACAATGGAAATAATTTAATTTCCGAGGAAGATAAAAATTCTGCAAAACATTTTATCATAGGTTTGCAACAGGGGTCCCTTGGGGCTGCTTTGGCTTGCTACACAGGATTTATTTGGTGTCTGTCTTCTAAATGTAAATTTAAAGTAAAATTCTGTCCTTAAAAATCATGGATGTTTTATTCTGATGTAATTTGTAATATAAAAGAAGCTTGGGCTAGGAAACTCCATGCTCCTCTCTAGAGTTAAGGCACTGTTACCTGGAATGCAGGAGAGGGAAGAAAGAATTAGCAGGGCTTGGTGGGGGCTGGGGGACAGGGTGATTTCAAAGTTGGCTGTAAAGTTTTAAGCTTTGGTAAGGATAAAGAGTGGTTTTCTGAAAAGAGCAATAGGAATCCAGAAGAGTGGAGAGTTTTAGGGGAAATGTTATTTAGATTTGTTGAGTTTAAGTGACAGTAAAGTGAAAATAACAACTAGTGCCCAGAAATCTCATGCAAGAGATCATTGCTGTGGGCCAATCAGGGCAAGCCAACACAGGATTATGAAAACATTTTTGTAGTCGTGCTGCTCCTAGACCAAGACCAGCAGCGGGAAGGGGTAGAAGAAACAGCCTCATTTCAATTTACTATGTATTTATTGAGCAGTTACTATGTGTAAAATCAGCTGCTTGGTCCAATAAGAAATAAAACAGATGCAACAGGCATTTGCTATTGATTTTTAAGTGTCCGCCACCTGGAAAACATATACAATAATTAGCTCAGACAGGTAGGCTGTTGGAAGGATTACAACAGAGGCATTGATGTGGCAGAGGGATGAATGAATATTGGCTGAAAGATTTGAACCAGGCATTTAAGGACAGATTGGTCATTTGGTAAGTGGATATGGGGAAGAGTGTTTCAAGCAGGGGGACCAGCTTGAACAAAGGCCTGGAAGCAGGAGTGAGTCTTCACTCAGTGCTGATTTGATGCCTCATTTGTCCAAGACCTCCAAATGCCTTCCCTGCCCACCTCTCCTCTGTTCACATCTGACCTGTGTAGGGCATTGGAATGACTGTGAGTATGTCTTTAAACTTAGGTATGATTTAAAGTCTATTATAGATTTTATGTAGGTCACTCCCTGAATGTTGGCTAAATATAGCGGCAGTGGGGGGGGTGGCCTCATTCTCTTACTGTATCACAAATCCAAGTACATCTGTTCGCAGTGGAACAAATGAAACAGATGAAGCAGTGGAAGTGAAGTTGGTCTATATGACCTCTGTGACAATATGGTTATAACCCCATCCTTGTTTTAAAAGAATGCTTCCTAAACCCCAGTCTGTTTACTCCAAGCAACATTTAACCAAAAGAAGATGAAGGAGAAGTAAAGAAAGAAGAAGAGGAAGAGGAAGGAGGGAAGCAGGGAGAGGTTAACTATAATAGAATACAATCCATACCAAAAATGGAGAGCAAAATATGAAATTTGAAGCAAAATATGATGTTTTAGCCATTTTCTATCTATTTTATTTTCTTGATAAACCCCCATCCCTACTTGAAATTACATTAAATATTACCTTGTTTATTTACTTTTTTTAATTGTCTGTGTCCTTATCTAGAGTGTAAGCTCCAAGGGCAGGGATTTAGTACATTTTGCTCTCTGTTGTATCCTCAGCATAAAGTACAGTGCCTGGAATATAATACATATTTAATAAATATTAGTTGAATGAATGAATGAATATCTGCAAGATGTGTATATTGCTTTGAGCCAAGGGATCTGATGCAGTCATTTAGTGTGGTGTCAAATGATGTTTGGAAAATTGTCTGGTTCTTCTTTGGGACAAAAAAGAACAGATTCTTACTTCATACCTTAATCAAAATAAACTAAAAAATGGATTAAAGGGCTAGAAATAAAAAATCAAACTATAAAAGTTTAGAATTAGTGAATATTTATCTTGTCTCTGGATGTGAAATGTCTAAGTAAAAAAAGCACCAGAAGAAATCACAAAGGAAAGGGCTAGAGATTTCACCCACATCACAATTTAAAAATTTCCCAGTGTAAATATATTTTCAACCAATTCAAAGGTAAATAACAACATGGGAAAAATTCTTACAAAAAAAATACCACAAGGGTTTAATGATACATAAATAGTTAATACAAGTCAGTAAAAAAAGAAACTTCTGAGACCTCAGTAGAGTATGGGTAAAGGACACAGATAATTTACCAAAGTAGAGGGTGCCTGGGTGGCTCAGTTGGTTAGGTGACTGCCTTTGGCTTGGGTCATGATCCTGGAGTCCCGGGATCAAGTCCCGCATCGGGCTCCCTGCTCGGCAGGGAGTCTGCTTCTCCCTCTGACCTTCCCCCTTCTCATGTACTCGCTCTCCATTCTCACTCTCTCAAATAAATAAATAAATAAAATCTTGAAAAAAAAATTTACCAAAGTAGAATTACAGATAGCTAATAAGTAGGAGAGAAGATGAGGCTTTTGAAACTTATGACAATCTGATTAGCGAATAATAAAATAATTAATAATATTTAGTTCTGATGTGTGTGTAAATTGGAAACTTTTACAAAAATTCTTAGTTAAAATACAGTGTTAAAATGTTCATAACCCTAATCAGCTCCTTGCTCTTTATGGATTTGACCTCCTTGGTGAGTAAGGTACATTGACCCAAATCAGAACGTGGGAGCCAATAGGAGAATGATTACTACCATCTCCCAGTTCATTCCAGTATTATTATCAGAACCAGTGAATCTGTGTGGATACACTGATTGCTCCTTAGCTCATATTCCCTTTTATTTGAATCCAACTCTATTCCGATTTTCTCTCATCCTTTGTTCACTGTACATAGGCCTCTCAGATTTCACCCAATCTCTTCTCCAGAGTCAGATCGTGTGGCTGCAGACTGATTACTTCCTTTTGCACATGGATTTTTAAAATAACATTCCATTAACGTGAGAAGTGGGGGTGGGGTCCCGCAATCAAGGCCACAGATGTGGTAACTGCACCATTTGGTCCTAGCCCAACTCCCCACCTAATGATGTGAATTCCAACTTGTTTCTGGCTCACCTGTAGGAATGTAAACATTGCAGTCTCCTCCGTTTATATTACTTATGTTTTATATATTTTGTCCAAGACATGTTTTTCTAAATACACTAATTTAGCCCTTTGAGTCAAATACTACCCAATGTCCTTAAACTCAGTAATTTCATATTTAGGAATTTATCCTAAGGAAATAATCTGAAATACATACCAAGCTTTAAATAAAAAGCATTATATGTCAGCATTATTTATAATGTTGAAAAATTACAAAAAACATAAATTTCCAAGAAAACTGAATGGGTGGATAAACTCTCGCACATCCATAGGATGGAATATTGAGTAACCATTAAAAATAGACACTTAGAAAAAAAATCGAAGGCTATAGGAAAGGGTTTATAACAGCGTTTGGCAGAAAAGGGAGGGGGCAGGATCAAAATATACCTATAGTATGATTTCAAACATATAAATGTATGCACTTATATCCACAGAACAAAACAGAAGGAAATGTGCCAAAACATTCGCGGTTGTATTAAAGTAAGGAGATGTGAAGTGTTTTTTTTTTTTTTCTTTTTCTCTGTAATGAAAATAATTTAAGAAAACGAGTTATGTGCCAAAAGGACCCCTAACTGAAAAACGATGGGAACCAGTCCTACAGCAATAGGTTTCATCATTAAAATTTCCATTGAAAGTTTTCTACAATTTGTAAGTCCCGTTTGAGCCTCAGTCTCTTTTTGCCATTAAGGAATATTTTCCAACATCAGAGAAATTAATTCTACTAGGCCAGTGGTGCATCCAGGAATCGATAAGATAAATTTCTGGCACACCATGCTTCATATCAGTTTCAGTAGTGGCCTGTAACAATGACATTAAGGGTCAACTTCTGCAGGGAGTGTAGAGGAGTAGATTTGCGAAATTTACTCTTGACTATTCAAACGACTTGCTGCCCACTTTTTGTTTTAAATCATCATATTTCTGGGGATTAATAAAAAGGCCTAAAATGAAGAAGATGAAAACTGGCAGAAAGACCATGTTTCTTCTGTACAAACCCTGGTTTGGGGGAAAACCAAAGCAATTACGTTGGCATTGTTGCCATCATGTACTGCTTCTTACAGCCTGTAGTCAGGTGTTATAGGAATTTGGCCTGCCTTATGGAGCTTTCTCAAATCTTGACACTTATGACTTAGCAGGGATCTCAAGGCCCAGGCCCAGGCCCAGTCCCCTGCGTTGGCCTCAGAATAGACTTTGACCTTGATAATGGAACAGAATGAAGGACAAGTCTGTGTGAAAAACAAGTTGGAACAACTTGCATAATTTATGAAAATTTAGTTTGAGGGAACTTTGGTGGAAAATGATGGGAAGACATTGATTAAAATTCACCTTGAGAAGAGTTAAGAAGCCAAGAAAGTAAAGAAAATTGAGAAACAGAAATTAAGACCAGGAAATAGGAAGAATTCGGACTCCTCTCCCCTATTTCTTTGAGCCTAAGATGCCCTCTGTGGTACCCTAGGCTTCGAAGTACAAGTCTTCCCTGAACCTGCCTCCAGTGGGAGCCCGCCTTCAGCGGCAGGATGGAGGGATCATAACCTCTCTAGAGCAGCTTCATGAAAAAATCAACGAGATGAGGAACGTGTTCAACTCGCTGGAGAACAAGGTAGACACCCATTTCTAATCCTTGGGGTGGGCTGTGGGCTGTCAAATGAGAGAGTTGAAGAGAGAGCAGAGAAAAGATGTTAAGTCCATGTCCTCAGAGTATTTTTTATTCACAAGGAATGGCCAGTTGGTACTGGAAAACCAGTCGGTAGCAGCTAAAGATACTGAGCCCCATGCTATCTGCAAAGCGATTATGCTCACATATGGCACCCCCTCCCTGGCTGATCAGTGGATGTAAAGCTGTTTATCAGGCAGTAGTGTTACTTCGATGGTAGGTACCCAATGGGCTCAAAGTAATATATGGGAAGGAAATGGGCTCATAGCTTAAAATGGTTTCAAAATTTCCAAAGTCCCTATATAACCTGGCTGTTAGGGAAAACTCAATTTTTTTTTTTTTTTGAGAGCTGGGGTTCTACAGGTGAGGAAAAGTCCTTTCCCTAGGATCCTACTGCTGTCTTTTGGTTCCTGGGAAAAACTCCACACATCCAGTGAGCAGTGATAATGAAACCTATTTCTGTCGGATAACGGTTCCCCCTTTTTTTTTTCAAACAGGAAACCTGAATTTATTTCAGGGTACCTGAATGAACGTCAGGTTTCCTTCCTTCAATTTTAAAAACTTGCACAGATTTTGCTTTGATATTCTATTGCTGTCGATTTTGTTTATTTTGTTCACTGAAGATGAATTTATGTAATGACAACTACCATATCAAAAGTAGTTGACCTGGTGATTTTAAGCCATTATGGTGACGACGTTAGACATGTGCTAAAATCCATCACAAAGATTAATTAACATGAAAGAGGACTGGAGCGAAATACAGACTGCTCAAGGTGTTCCTCAGGCTTCCAGGCCTGAACACTTGGCAGGTCCTGCTTTTCTCCTCAGGATGATACCTTTGGTTCCTCTTACTTCTCCCTATTTCCGGCCCTTGAAAGAAACCTTTGAGGCACAGGGAACCACAAAACCCCATATTTTAAACCTGTGGTGTAGGAGACCAAGTCTTTTTATAGTGGCAGGTGTCGTTGTGAGTTGGAATCATTTTGGATAACCAGATTCTGAAAATGTTTAGAAGTATACATTTGAAGGAATTTTGTTAATTTTGTCAAAAGTTCTGCTTTAAAGAGAGAACAGGGGCTAAGAGTTCCTCTCTTTAGCGGAGGGTAAGATCATGAATTTCAAGAAAGTGTTATTATCTTATTGTACTATTATTGTATTATTTGTTCAATAAAAAAAAAAAAACCTGAACTTTAGAAGTGCTCTATTTTCTCCACATCTCTGTTTGTGCTCAACTTTTTGATGTGCCACTGAAAGGGGGAGAAGAATTAAAATTTCTTGAACACCTTCTATGAACCAAGCATGCACTGTGGCAGAAAACTTGCCTACCTGTATTCATTTAATTCTCCAGACAACCCTGTGAAAGAGGTGTCACAGTAGTTATTTTATGCAGGAGGAGACTGCCACAAAGAGGTTAGCCAACTTGCCTGAGGTCTTACTTCTCATAGGAGAGAGCTAGGATTCCCACCCTGACTCCAAAATTGATACTTTTTTCATGGTGTGGAAGTTGACAACAGAAGTCCAATGTGTGCACTCCTACACGACCAGGCTTGACTCTTGAAGATAATTCAACATCACTATCAACAGTGTGCTGAGCTCCTAACACTGTAGCTATTTCCTGCCACTCAAATGCAAATGCCACTTTCTCCTTTTCCATGACATCATCCAACAACCATATATATATATATATATATATATATATATATATATGAATCCTCTTCCCTTTCAAAGAAATTCTCAGATATGCTTAGTTATTATTCTTTTTATCATTTAATTTTTAAGGGAAAAATAACTGAATTTCTTCATCTTCTATAACACCCCGGATAATATGACCCATCCTTTCTTTCATGGGATTCAAAGAATTACTGGATCAAGATTGTCTTTCACAAGCATATGTTGGTTTTCAAGTAAATCTCATTTTAAGCAAAGGTGTTAGAATAAACATAGCTCACAGGAACACCTGTCAACTTAATTGTTTGCTTGCTTGTCACTATCCAGCTTCGGCATGTGCTATATAAAAAAGACCCTCTTTTCCCTAAAAGAATGGGACCAAGTTTGCCTTATGTTGTCTAAACTTCAGTCTACCAGTATATGAGGTCTGTAGGTTTTCAGGAGCTTGGTTTCTCAAACGAAATGAAAATTCAAGGGGCCAGTGGCAGTATTTACAGTAGTTTATAGCAAATTGAATTCACTCTTGGTGATTATCTTTAGTTGCAGGCCTTGGCCTCTGAACTCAAAACTGGTTTCACGGAAGCAATGCAAGAACTGTCAAGAATTCAACATGGAGAATATGCTTTGGAAGAGAAGGTTAAGAGCTGCCGATGTTCCATGGAAGAAAAAGTTACTGAGATGAAGAATTCGTTAAACTATTTCAAGGTAGGCTCCTTTCTTTCTTTCTCTTTCTTTCTTTCTTTCTTTCTTTCTTTCTTTCTTTCTTTCTTTCTTTCTTTCTTTCTTTCTTTCTTTCTGATTTTATTTATGTATTTGAGAGAGAGAATGAGAGGGGGGAGGGTCAGGAGGAGAAGCAGACTCTCTGCTGAGCAGGGAGCCCAATACGGGACTCGATTCTGGGACTCCAGGATCATGACCTGAGCTGAAGGCAGTTGCTTAACCAACTGAGCCACCCAGGCGCCCCCTAGGCTCCTTTTCTACTCTCCTGCTAAACAGAGAGGTTCTTGGTCTTAGCCACAGAAGTAGAAAACACCTTTTCACGTAGCAGTCAAAGAAAAGAATTTTCTCTCTGGCCCATTCGCTAATTATCATGAAAAAAAAATCGATTTCATGTTTTTCTTTCTTGGATCTCTGTGTTAAAATTACAGACTGCAATAGAAATAAGATGTTCATCTCTCATTCATTCATTCAACACATGTATATTAGAAGCTTACTGGGCACCTGGGTGGCACAGTTGGTTGAGCGACAACCTTCGGCTCAGGTCATGATCCTGGAGTCCTGGGATCGAGTCCTGCATCGGGCTCCCTGCTCAGCGGGGAGTCTGCTTCTCCCTCTGACCCTCTTCCCTCTTGTGCTCTCATTCTCTCTCTGTCAAATAAATAAGTAAAATCTTTTAAAAAAAAAAAGCTTACTGTGTACTAGATATCATGTTATATCCTTTCTTTCTTTTTTTTTAAGATTTTATTTATTTATTTGAGAGAAGAATGAGATAGAGACAGAGAGCACGAGAGGGGGGAGGGTCAGAGGGAGAAGCAGACTCCCTGCTGAGCAGGGAGCCCGACGTGGGACTCGATCCCAGGACTCCAGGATCATGACCTGAGCCGAAGGCAGTCGCTTAACCAACTGAGCCACCCAGGCGCCCATGTTATATCCTTTCACCCCCTTTACCAGATTCAGTATGTATCAATTCCTATTTTTCAGGAAGAGCTGAGCAATGCCATGTCAATGATTCAGGCCATCACTTCCAAGCAAGAAGAAATGCAACAGAAAATTGAACAGCTTCAGCAGGAAAAGCGAAGGGAATCTCGAAAGGTTAAAGCCAAGTGAGTGTCTTACACAAAATTGGCCGACGGCAAACCCGTAAGCAGAGGCTTGTATACTTACACCGAGAACACCTTCCCCCCTGTCGGCAGATAGATAACTGGCTACATACTGCTGGAATCTGTGGGTCAGCATGATGGAAGCTATAGAATCATAAAAATCAGTTACTTTTAAAAATGGACGGCAACAATTACACGGAAAATGCACTCAAGTACAATAGGAAGTGAAATGAAAATGATATAAGATGACATGTAGAACTGTAAAAACATGTAAAATAAAAACTAGAAAGATATATTTTAAAATGTGATTGTTGTGTTAAGATAGTGGGGTCACTCATAATTTTCTTTTTTAATTAGTTTTCTAAAATTTCTCTAATGCTACTACTAGTTTACTTCTACCATTGAAAATACATTTATGTTAATATCTCAACCAGGTTGAATCAATTAAGTTTCACCATTGAACATATATAATCATTATTGTTATAGGTTTTTAAATTATCAAATTTAAAATAGAAATATGGCAATAATATTTGTGTGACTACAAAGAGTGGCTTGTTGTTTATAGTTGAAGACCTGCTGCTTCCTGGAACCTTTGTGTTGCTTTGTTAAGTGAACGTAAGTCACCCCAAGCAAATTGTCATCATTGCAAACTCTGTACAGATCCTGATGACAAGGAAGCCAAGAACAGAAAAACAAAAATATAGGTATTACCATTAGGATGTGATTTGTATGTATTTGAAATTTTTTCTCCAGCTTTGGCAATGAATTAAGTTGAACTCTAAGAATTGCTAGTATCTAACTATTTTTAATTTACAAAAACAGCACTTCTTTCGTTCAACCTAATGTTTCAGAATTTTTCTTGAATCATTCTGAACTGATTCTCTTCTTAACCTATCAGGCATTAAGACCCTTTGTTTTCCTTCCCCAGGAAAACTCAAAAAGAAGAACATGGTTCACAGGCTGGGCCTGCTCAAGCACAAGGAAGTCCTTTCCGTTCAATCAATATCCCTGAGCCTGTTCTTCCAAGTGAAGACTTTACAAACCTTTTGCCTTCTCAGGCCTATGAAAAAGGTACAGTTTGCAAACCATATTGAATTAACCAAGCCTTTCCCCTTGATTCCTAGAGCTTAAGTAATAGTGAGAATGGGTTTATGTCTTCCATCCTTATAGGAAAATGATGTATTGCTCAGAATTTTTCCTCCTATAATTGGAATTTATAAGAATCCAGAGAGAGGATCCTGAGGTGCCTGGGTGGCTCAGTTGGTTAAGCATCTGCCTTCAGCTCAGGTCACGATCCCAGGGTCCTGGGATGGAGCCCTGCATTGGGCTCTCTGCTCAGCAGGGAGCCTGCTTCTCCCTCTCCCTCTACCTGTAGTTCCCTCTGCTTGTACTCTCTCTGTGTGTCAAATAAATAAATAAAATCTTAAAAAAAAAAAAGAATCCAGAGGATCCTAAGAGACCAGGAGAATCTGCCCAATTTTAAAAGATTTTCTTTTTTGGGAAAATACTTATCTGGGTTTTCTAAATTTCAAATACTAACCCTAGGAGAAAAATGTTAAAAAAATTATTCACTCTAATAACTCATTTTCTCTTCCACATTACTGCTCACGCCTTGTCTCTCTGCATAGACATTTTAAAGATAGGTGTATTCTTAGCAGAAAATTGTGTGTTCTGCGCTTTTTTCAGTGAGGTTTCACTGATCAGAGAAAATCATATCTGCCTTAACTGGCAGGCAGTGACATCAGTGGTGTGCCCCTCTTTCTCTGGGTAACCAGAGCTGGTGCTGTCTGTGGGCTCAGGTCACTAGCCACACCCCCGATCTGAGGGATGAGACAGCAGATGCTAGAAAACTGTCCCTGGGCAGCGCTGATGAAACTGGCTTTCCATCCAGTTACCTCCGTCTGTAACCATGTCTGGTTACACGTTTGCTACATCTTTGTATGCTCAGCAATGTCTAGCAAAGCACCTATGCTGGAGAGTGACATTAATGTTATTTAGAGTAACTATCCTCTCTTTTTTTTTTTTTAAATTTTTTTGGGTCACATATAGAAAGTCTCCAAAAGAGGCTCAAGGACTTCTCAACCAATTGTAAGCTCCTCTGGGGGCAGAGCTGGTGGTTTTCTACCCTTCTCCCTTAAGGCACCATATATTCCTAGACGATAAATGTGTTTTGAATCACTAAATTTAAAAATCTAAATCAGAGGCTTTTAATCAGTATAACTTCAAAGTATGGATCTGCTTTTTTTCTTTGTTGTTTTTTTTTTTTTACCCCTTTGAGTAGTTACTTTAGAGACTGATAGGTGCAGCCTGGGAAAACTCACAGATCCCTCTGGGGACTGAGTGGGTTCATCACAGGTAGTTCTATTTTCTTTGCTCCATGTCATAAGGAACAGGACATAAAAGGATGGTCTTATTAGGAAAGAATACAGGATGGCCTTAGAAAGTAGAGGTCAGATCAGTGCCAGGTCTGGGGAAGTTGAACATTTTCACGAGATAAAAGATTAAAAATTATATTTGCAAAGTGCTCAGACGGAGTTCAATGAGCTGTGTGGTGGGAACTCCTCCCTCCTTCCCTGTTATAATAGATGTGGCTTATATAATACAGTTTGTTCAACCAAATTACTGCAGAATTTGGGAATAATGTGCCATAATAAGACATTTTGGGTATGATTGATGGTATGTTCTGCTAAAATGCAGGATCTAAGGGCCAACGTTTAGAAAGGGTTGGCTTACCCACTGTTAACTATAAAATGGTGCAATTGTTGCTTATTGCTCCCAAATTCAGTAGCGTACAATAGCAAACATTCATTATGTTATAGTTTCTCTGAGTCAGGAATCTGTGGGTGCCTCTGGCTCAAGGTCTTTCGGGAGATTGCAGTTAAGGTGTTAACTGTCCCACTTCGCATTCATGTTTCCTGCTATCTATCCATCACCCCAGACGCTGACTTAGATGGTGGGAGATAGTAATGAACAAAACAACAAACATTCCTGCCCTCATGGAAGCAGACAACAAACAAAATAGATAAAATATGTAGTACGTTAGTGATAGGGAGAAAAATAAGGAAACACGGGTGTAACTTTAGAGAGGGTGCCAGGTAAAACCTGAAGGAAGTGAGGATGTGAGCTTATGCATTCAGAAGGGAAGAAAGGAACAGCCCATGCCAAGGTCCTAGCGGGAACATCACTGAGATGTTCATTCAAGCTGGAGCAGGAGCAGGGGTGGTAAAGCAGAGGGAACAAGAGAGACAACAGGAGACGAAGTTTTCAGAAAAGAAGGAAACAGGAGGGGCAGGAGGGGGCAGATACTTTACGGCTTTATGGTCATTATAAAGCCTTTGGCTTTTACGCTGACCTGGGAAGCCATTGGAGGGCTAGGCGGAGGAGTGACAGGGTCTGACTTACATCTGAACAGCATCATTCTGGCTCCTCCCACCCTCACCATCATAGTTAGCTCTTATTCTGTACAGTTTACACATATTAACTGATTTAATTCTTGTGGTAGTCTAGGAGGTAAGTGCCACTTATATATTCTTACAAATGGGAAAATAGCGCTTGCCACTATATTGAAATTTTATTTTATTTTTGGCTCTTCTGTCTCCCTCAGTAAGCTGTCAACAGTGAGTCTGTCCCCAGTGTCTGGCTCATAGAAGGTGTCAGCCCCTGTTAGTGGAGTGAATACTGACTGAAAGCTTTCCTTTCTCTATAGCCCAAGAATCCAGATCCATGCATGTAGCAGACAGTAATGTGAAGGGGATGATGGGGCCTGGTAAGTAGCTCTGTGTTTAGTTCTCTTCACTTCTAGCAACTCTACCTTTTCCTTGCTTCCACCTTCCCTGCTTCTAGTCCCTCAGTCCCAAACCAGGCTTGAAAGAACTCAGGCAAGATAAAGCACTGTGGTTACTAAGACCCCAAGATGTATAATAGAATAAGTCAGTGACTCAGTTAAACCAAGGAGAGAGAAGGGGTGGAGATGTTTAAGACAAGGCCAGTATTCTTGGTTCTTTCTGGCTCACATCAATTGGTTCTTTCTGGCTCACGTCAATTACTGAAATAATATTTGCTGAGAAACTCACAGGTATACGTAGCATGACATAAGTTTTCTATGGACACATTTTATAGTTTATTTAATTTAAAGGTTATTTACTTAATAGACAACCCACCAGTATTTCATAAATTTCATCTTCCCTTCCCTCCATTCCTTCCTCCTTTTTGCAACTTACCATTATTGTGGCCAAGGAAAACAAATTCCAAAAGAAAACATTGTTTTGGCATCTTTCTTCCTCCGTATTTTTTCCCTGGTGTGCTTGACTAAAAGGAAGGAGATACAGGGAGTCAATGCATACTTACTACAAATTAATTATATTATTTTATAAATTTACTTTTTTAAAACTCCTTGTTTAGTAGTGACTACATACAAAGAGTAGAGGATGTATAGGCCAGAAACAGAGGTGATCCTTCGCAAGTGTAAAAACTTTTAATCCTGGAGTCCCGGAATCGAGTCCCACATCGGGCTCCCTGCTCAGCAGGGAGTCTGCTTCTCCCTCTGACCCTCTTCCCTCTCGTGCTCTCTATTTCTCATTCTCTCTCTCTCAAATAAATAAATAAAATCTTAAAAAAAACTTTTAATCTTCAGTTGATTTATTTAATCCTTGAGGGATAGTTTGTACCCAAATGGGCATAATATTTCAGAGTTAATAAATATATTTTTTTTAAAAAAAGTCAAATCTTGACGGCAGGTGTTATTTTTCAGGAATGAACCCAACAACTCCAGAAGCAGAAGAAAACCTTAAGTCTTGCCTCTCGGCTGATATCCAGCCCAAGAGCCATCTCTCATCTGGTGTGTGGAGGCAGCCTAAGGATGGTAAAGAATGGGGCGAGGAATATGTCACAAAAGACCACCCAGATAAACTCAAGGATGCTGGCCAGGGCAGACACAGCTCCCTGGAAAATGTTTTATGTGAAACCTCTTTAGCTGGTAAGTCCCAAGGGAAAATACAGGCTGAAATTTTGAAGAACAGGAAACCTACAGGCTAGAATCCTTGCAATATAGGTTCAGGGGACATATGAGACCACCTGCTCTCTGGTTTCCTTTTCAGATGAAGGCTAAAGCCTATAGAGATGAGGGGACTCACCTGAGGTCACATGGCCAGCTTGGGACCAGCACCTCGACTCTGGGTATCCATGACATTTAGTAACACAGTGCTTTGGGGGAAAAAAAGGGATAAAGTTGGTGGGGAAGAGGGCAGCATTTTGTGAACTATGTAGTGATGCGAAATCTTCAAAATGTGCGTCTCGGATCAGTAGTCTGCCACCAAGATATCAAACACTGCAACGGGGTCCGTCCTCCCTCCCTCCTTCCTCCTTCCCTCCTTTTCCCTTCCTTCCTCTCCTTTGTGTTACAAATTGCTATTCCACACTTACTATATGTCCGCATAATGCCGTTTCCCTCCAACCACTTTGTGGAAGGCAGTTTTTAAAAATTAATTTTTACCATCACACACATGAAAAAATAAATAGTACTAAAAGGTTTATTATGAAGAAAAGAGCAACCACTTTAAACTGTTTGCACAGTTTCTTGTGGTACTTGCTTCCACGTTCTAAAATAAGTTTATGCTGCTGTTTTTTTTTTTTAATCAGTACTTTACTGGGGGATAATTTACGTACAGCAAAGTTAACAAACCTTAAGTTTAAGCTCATTGACTTTTTATGTATGTATGTATAGCCCCTTGTGATCACTACCTGCATCAAGATATACAATATTTGTGGGCGCCTGGGTGGCTCAGTTGGTTAAGCGACTGCCTTCGGCTCAGGTCATGATCCTGGAGTCCCGGGATCGAGTCCCACATCGGGCTCCCTGCTCAGCAGGGAGTCTGCTTCTCCCTCTGACCCTCTTCCCTCTCGTGCTCTCTATCTCTCATTCTCTCTCTCTCAAATAAATAAATAAAATCTTTTTAAAAAAAGATATACAATATTTGTTACCCCAGAGAGTTCTCTCATGCACCTTACCACCCGAAGAACCACTATTCTGACTTCTGTCACTGTAAATTAGTTTCCTCTGTTCCCGAACTTCATACAGAGGGAATAATACAATGTGTACTCTTTTGAGTCAGGGTTCTTTCTCTCAATATAATGTGCTGTGTGTAATTCACTCAGTAGTTCATTCCTTTTTTCAGTCATTGAATAAATTTACCACAATTTGCTTATCTGTTCTCCTGTTGATGGACATTTGGATTGTTACTAGTTTAGGGCTATTATAAGCAAAACTGATATGAATATTCTTGAATGAGTCTTTCTTGGATGTCTGCCCTCATTTCTCTTGGATGTACCCGTAGGAGTAATATCTCTAGATTAGGGGATAGGATTATGCTAAACTCTGAAAGAAAACATCAAACAGTTTTCCAAAGTGACTGGGACATTTTATACTCCATCCAGTAATGTCCGCGAGTTCTGGTTGCTTCACATCCTTCCCAATATTTAGTATGGTTAGTCTTTTTAATTTTAGCCATTCTCATGGGGGGTGTACTGGTATTGTAGTTTTGATTTGCACTTGCCTGATGACTAATGATGTTGAGCATCTTTTCATGTGCTTACTAGTTATTTGTACATCTTCTTTTATGAAGTGCCTGTTTAAGTCCTTTGTCCAACTTTTAAAGTGCATTATCTTATTATCAATTAGTAGAATCTCTTAATATATTTTGGATATGAGTTCTTTATTAGATATATGTGTGGAGAATATTTTATTCCAGTATGTGGCTTGCATTTTCACATTCTTAATAGTCTTTTGATGAATAGATGTTCTTAATTTTGGTGAAGTTAATCAATTTTAAACTTTTTATATAGATTGTGACTTATGTGTCCTTCCAAGAGATCTTTGCCTATCCCAAAGTTGTGGAGATACTCTAGTATGTTTTCTTCTAAAATCTTTATAGCTTTAGCTTTCACATTTAGATCTATTACTTATCTTTTTTTTTAAGATGTTTTTTAAGTAAACTCTATGCCTAATGTGGGGCTCCAACTCATGACCCCAAGATCTAGAGTTGCATGCTCTACAGACTGAGTCAGCCAGGAGCTCCAATCTATTACTTACCTTGAATAGATTTTGATGTATGGTGTGAGGAAGGAGTCCAGGTTCATTTTTTTCCCATACGGCTGTCCAGTTGCTTCAGTACCATTTATCGAAAATATCTTTCTTTCCATATTGAATTGTGCAAAGAACGTCAGGTGATTCACATATGGGTGGTTCTAATTCTAGATTCTATATTCTTTTTATTCCAATTCTATTGGAATATTCTATTCTATTCTTAGCATAGAATTTACAACTTGGCAGTATTTAGTGTTCCAATCAAAGAACATGGTTTATGTCTCCCTTACTATAAGTCTTCAATTTTTCTTAGCAATGTAACGGGAAATCTCTCGTTTACATGCTTCTTCTTCTCCTCCCCTCTCCACCCACCGAAGCCTTTGCCCTAGAGTCCTTTGTCATTCTACTCCATTCTGGCCCATTGCACTGCTGCTATCCTGGGACTTCCCACTCTTCTTAGGAATTCCTTTCATAGTTTTCCTATGTTAGATTCCCTTTCGTTTGTTTTTATCTTGTGTGCCTGTTGGTTTCTTGGTTTACTCCTTGTTTGATGGAACCCATCGTCCAGTAGCCTTCACGTGCTTTGGTGATAATTTAGGTGAATATAAAATCATTTTCCCTCATCATTTTGAAGCAATTGTTTCATTGTCCTCTAGTTTCTAATGTTACTTTTGGGAAGTCCAATACCATTCTGATCCCCAGTCCTTTGTATGTTACCTGATTGTTCTCTCTGGTAACTTTTAGGATCTTCTCTTTACCTTTGGTGTGCTAATGTGTCACAGTGTTGTGAGAGTCTTCTTCATTAATTTTGCTGAGCATAGTGGGCCCTTTCCTCTAGAAATGTGTCTCCTGGGTTTTTTCTTTCTATTATCAATTTCTATTATTATCCTCTCATCCATTTTCTTTCTTTTCTCTGAAATTTTTATTAATTTGATATTGGGTCTCCTGGATTGATCTCCACTACCATCATTTCCTAGTCTCTTTTTCTTCAAAATGTCTCTTTCTTGTTTTGTGGGGGGAGTGGGGAAGAAGGCAGGAGATCTCCTTGACTTTATCTGCCACCTTTTTATCTTTGAAAAAAATGCCAAAAATTCCTCCTCCTCCTCCTTTTTCTTTTTTTCTTTTTGGAATGTTCTCTTTTCTTAAAAAAAAAAAATAGCATCCTGTAACTATTAAATGGGTAGAATGTTTTTCTCATATATCTTTGAGGATATTAATCATAGGATTTTTTAAAAAGATTTACTTTTATTTTTTATATATAGAGAGAATGTGTGAGTGGTGGGAGGGGCAGAGGGGGAGAGAGAAAGAGTCATTTTTTTTTAAACATTTTACTTATTTATTTGACAGAGAGAGACACAGCAAGAGTGGGAACACAAGCAGGGGGAGTGGGAGAGGGAGAAGTGGGCTTCCCGCTGAGCAGGGAGCCTGATGTGGGGCTGGATCCCAGGACCCTGGGACCATGACCTGAGCCAAAGGCAGACGCTTAATGACTGAGCCACCCAGATGCCCCGAGAGAGAGTCCTTAAGCAGACTCCCCACTGGGCAGGGAGCCCAATACAGGGCTCTATCCCAGGAGCAGATCATGACCTGACCTGAAATCCAGAATCAGTGCTTCACCGGGGTGCCTGGGTGGCTCAGTCGGTTAAGCGTCTGCCTTCGGCTCAGGTCATGATCCCTGGGATGGAGGCCCACATTGAGCTCACTGCTCAATGGGGAGCCTGCTTCTCCCTCTCCTTCTGCCTGCCACTCTCCCTGCTTGTGCTCTCTCGCTCTCTCTCTCTGTGTCAAATAAATACATAAAGTATTAAAAAAAAAAGTCAGTGCTTCACCAACTGAGCCACCCAGGAGCCCCTTTATTATAGGATTTTTAAAAAAGTTTTGTTTCTGCATTGCTTCTTTTTTTTATTAATGTATAATTGACACATGTCATATTAGTTTCAGATGTACAACATAATATTTAATATTTGTATATATTGTGAAATGATCACCACAATAAGTCTAGTTAACATCATCACCATACATAGCTACAATTTTTTTCCTTTGAGAACTTTTATGTCTACTCTTTTAGCAACTTTCAATTATGCAAAATAATATTATTAACCATGCTGTACATTACATCCCCTGCATTGTCTCCATTTATTCAAAATCTGTATATACCTTTTTCTTCTCTTTATTTTACAGTGTAAGGTTGATTCAAATGTCTGAGGATCCTTAGCATATATATATATATATCTATATCTATCTAGCTATATCATATATATATGTGTATATATATATATATATATATATGAGAGAGGCCCTAAATAAAAAGAAACCATGATCATGATTCTATGTTGGCCAAGCTTATCAGTAAATGGACTTCACTATAGGCTAATCAGGTGGCAAATTAACTTTTTGGTAGCTGACCTCTTTATGTCAGTGTCTGTAGGTCTTTTTCCCTTGGGTAGTTCAGTTTCTTCAGTGGAAGATCCTCCAGTCTCCTGCCTGGAGAGTATAAGTCTGGCTACTGGTACTGTGGAAAGACTGTGGAAAGACCTGCAGGGGGAGGGGCTGAGGGGAGTCTCCCCATTCAGTAGGCAAGCCTTCTCTGAGTCCCCTTGTTTTCATGTTGGCATCTTAATCCTTCCCTCTACTGTCTTTAGTCCAGACCCCAGAGTTATGGGCCCCTCTAGTTTAATTTTTCCCATTTTCCCATGGGAGGGGGTGGGGAATGAGGAAGCCACCTGGCATGGGGGGAGGAGCCTGGAAGTTCAATTGCACTATATATAGACTAAGTCTCCTGTTTTCAGCACTGCTACTTATTTGTACCTTCTGTGGTGCCCAGTGCCTCCACTCCTTGAGCCTTTCTGCTTCTCAGCAGATTTTCCATGTGCAGATGAGAACACCAAGGTTTTGCACCCTTACTCTGCTGAATTAATTACCATGCTTCCATTCTGTTTTCCATCCTCTGAAAACTTGCCAATGTCCGTTTTTATTTCTTTCAATGTCTTTTTATTGCTTTCTATCATTTAATCGAGTTTTGGGAAGGAATGGTTGACGAAAATTCCCTCTTTGTTTTTTAAAGCTAAAAGACAGACCGTGGCTCTAGAACTGCTTGAGTCAGAGAGAAAATATGTCATTAACATCTCTCTGATCCTGAAGATCAAGGCAACATTCCAAGGGTCAGATGGAAAGAGGAATTCCAAAGAGAGAAGGTATCCATGTGTTCATTGCCTTTGCTTTTCAGATTGATTAAAATTTAAGGTAAGTCGTTTATTGTTTCCAGTTGGGGAATTCTGCGACCTGTGAAGAGTTCCAGAAACAGTCTTTGAAGAGAGTGTAGGCAGTGACAGCAGGTAATGGCTGGCAAGTCTCAAATTTAGACTTACCGCAGATAAAAAAATGAAGATAGTCTCTGAGAACCTCAGTGTCCCTGGCATGTCTGTAAAGAACATAAAGGGGAAATTAATGCTACAGTGAGGGAGACATTGCTCTCTGTTGCCATCTGCATGTGCTCCTGGGATCACAGGTCTCATGGACATAGGAGGGAATGGATGCAGTGGAGATTTGAAGCATTAAGTGGCCATTAGATAAATGGTACGGGGCTGATTAACTCTGGACTTGGACCTTTCTTATTTGTTCCGGTGATCCCATAGTACTAGATGGTGCGCAAGTGGTGTGTGTGTGTGTGTGTGTGTGTGTGTGTGTGTGTGTGTGTGTGTTGGTGCTTCCACAGGGTCTGCAGTATATTATAACAGCATGCTAGCTGCTCCAAGATTACAACACTCCTTTATTGCTTCTGTTCATCATCTTTATATCTTCTCTGCTTCTTCTCCATTAAGAAAAGCAGGAAGGAGGAAACTCTGATTTGGTGGAAAGGACTAACCTCATGAAGACGTAATAATCCAGATTAGTTGAGGAAAAGGCCAGTCCAGAAGAATGGAAAGTCTGGATTATGGACTATTACAGATAAATGTAGCATTGATAGTTTAAATAGTCTATCAGGTAATAGACACTGGTGGTCCATAAATCTATTGTGAATCTCTCAGGTAGCCCCTGATTGTATTTTCCTGCTCTCTACCCACCCCCCATTTTACTTGGCTTGCGGCTGCCGGCAAAACACCTGGTCACCAGAACACGGTGCTCCCCATATCTAATGGCTGAGGTGAGGGAATATTCCCTGACAGACTCAGAAGTGGCTTGACTATTTTCAAGAATCATTTTACTGCAAAGTTGAGGTAAGCAAAGTATAGAAAACAACAAGGAACAGAAAGGGTGAAGTGACAGGGCTAAAGCTCTCACCCCTAGATGTCTGTCTCAGGGGCCACCCAGATTCTGGCTGGTCGTTCCTTCCCCATCTGAAATCCGACTCGTCCCACCCTCGCCCATTGCCCCTTCAGCCTCTGAGATGCCTCTCCAGCCTCCAGCCATCTTGCCAGAGACCTGCTCCATTTGCATTAATCAAATCTAAAGGCAAGTCTACCTTTTGGTGTAGTATTCCTTCCACATGAGAGATTCTAAGCCAGCAGCATCTCCTTGTCATCTCTGAAAATTTGGGGATGGGGCAAGGGGAGAGAGAGAGAGAGAACTGTTTACTCTGGAACACGGTAACCAAGGCACTTCATTGGTAAATTCATGAAATCTTCACAAGAACCCTATGGAGCTTACCATATAGCTGAAGAAACTAAGGCCCAGAGGGCTTTAAAACCACACAGTCAGTTAGTGTCAGGATTCGAATCCAGGCTTGTCTGCCTCTGTCCTTGTGACCTTTCCACATCACACCACTTCTCTGAGGACCTTGTCATTTCAAAGACATCATCTGACTAACAGCAATATGTTGGGTTTCTCAGCCAGAAGCAGACCTTCTGTCTGTTCCTATTTTATAGCGTAGGCTTCCCTCTTAACAGCCCTTATGTTCTTACTTCAGATCTCAACTGACGTGTCAGGCAGGGACGCTAGAAATGTTCTCGGCTTACTGAAGCTCTCTTCTACTTGCCGTCACTTCCTGCTTGTCTAGGATGTTCTCCCATGACTCATGACTGAGGAAGGACGGATCGTCCCCAAATCCCAAGATTTAAAAAAGTTTAAAACTATCACACAATCCCCATGAAAGTTAGAAACCAGAGTTATTTCTCGTATCTGCGATAATGCTATTCATGTTAGTTATTTACTAAACTAACCCTCTTTTTTCTTTTCATGGATATAGATGAGAAAAGCTTTAAGTCAGTACTCTTTGGACTAATATAAAAACTCGAGTTCCGAGCTTTGCAGTGTTGCCATTTTTCCACCCTAGGCTTAGATTTCCATTGTCCTCCTTCACTTACTACATTTCTTCTTTATCTAAGCTTTTCTTTTTTTCTTTTTTAAGGATTTTATTTATTTATATGACACAGAGAGAGAGAGAGAGAGGGCACACAAACAGGGAGAACAGCAGAGGGAGAGAGAGAAACAGGTTGCCCGCTGAGCAGGGAGCCCCGTGCGGGGCTAGATCCCAGGACCCTGGGATCATGACCTGAGCCGAAGGCAGACGCTTAACCGACTGAGCCACCCAGGCGCCCCTTTTCTAAGCTTTTCTGAAGCCTCTGTGGGTTTTAAATAGGCCCACTGAATGAAATACACAACAGAACGAGATTATTCTCCTTCTCTACTGGCGTTTTCCCCATGCAAAGATGAAAATAAGTTAGCAACATGTCCCATCTTTCCCATCATACATTGCAAGCCTCCAGCACTTTCCACCCCTGCTGCAAAGTAACCTGGGGGTGAAAATAAAACCTACCGGAACTACAACTGGACACTCAAAACTGAGGTTGCCACATCTTCTCAAACCTCTACAATAAAACTTTAGTTTTTCCCTGGAGAAAAGTAAAGCCCTGAAGAGCCTCCTTAGCGTGTTTCAAGCCAGCCCTGCCCCTGGCTGAACCAAAGGGCTGGAAACTGCAGAGGTACGAGCAGCCACTGAGGTCTGAGTGGAACTTGTGGGCGGCTGTTCATTTGTTGGAGGATCACAGGAGTTGCAGTTCTTGGCTTTCTCTGGTCTGATTCACCTAGATAGAGTTCCAAGCTCAGGATCAAACAGTCCTGTCGGAATACTTGTGGAGAGGGACAACGTCAGCCTGACAGGATTGTCAGTCAGCCTACTCTGCATCCACCAAGAATGCCGTGTGCTATGGATCACCACCAGGTGGCACACGCTCTGTCATCGGCACCCCTCAAATTTGGTTGCGTCCTGCTGCTGAAGCTCAGGAGATATTCTGGCCTAAAATTAGACTGGCAAGAGCTAAGTTATTAATTTGCAACTCTAACTGGGTTTTCCTTGATGGCTTTTAGTTTAATGCCCTTGTTGTTTAAGTACTGTATTGTGGGAGGTGAAATAACTTTTTGTGACCCCCACCCTGAAATCTCAAACTATTACCCCAGTGGACAGTCCAGGGGGTACCTGGACTCCAACCAAGTTACCAGCTCTCCAATTCTGCAAGGACACTGGTCACCATGTAGCAGAAGGCAGCTTTCTTAGAAGAAAGAGAAAGAAGGTCAGGCCAGGTGAGGCCAGGCAAGGCCAGGAGAGGAGTAAAGAAAGAGAAAAAGAAAAGAGATCATCCAAGAGATATTACATAACCTATATGGACAACCCATCTCAAAGTCAGAACTCACCATGGCAGGGTGCCCTCCCATCTTTCAGTGTCACACCAGGAATATTACCCAAAGTCATGATAGCCTTGGGTGCGGAGAAATCTTTCACATCTAGACCTTTCACGGGCATAGCGTTTTACTCTTTCAGTTCAATCAGTTGTGCTTTTCTCTATCAGCTTTATGGTCTCCTCCACAGTCAGCCTGTCTCCTGGCCACCCCTCCAAATTCCCTCTGATCTGGACAAGGATTACTTAGATCTTCTGAGCCCACTGTGCCAGCCATAAGGGCTTAGATCGGGAAGTCCCTCCACTTGCGCTTATGGACCAGCTGGCTTCGCAAATGCGGAGACTAGTGGCACAGGAAGGGGAGGGGCAGAAGACCGGAGTGAAGGAATCCTCATCTTCTCACAGGGGCTGGATACTCGCTCTGTTATCTGCGGCTTCTCTGAGCTATAGCCTCAGGGGAGTCTGCTTTACTTGCAGATGGGTTGAAGAAGCTTTTTTTTTTTTTTTTTAATTTTATTTATTTTTTTGGAGGGGAGGTTGAAAAAGCTTCTTACCAAACTGGGGTTCTTCCTACTGAACTCAACAAAGGTCTGCTTGTTCAGGGTTGGCAAAGCACCCCAATTGTCCACTGATTTATTCTTGTTGGACCCTGGGGGAATATCAAGTTCAGCTCTCAGTGACACGTTCATCTTCATTAAACTTGTGGTCTTGAAAGCCCAAGGGAACCTAGTATCATTTCCCATAAGTCACCAAGTTAGAGCTCGAGTCCTTGCTGTAGCCCAGCAAAACTCAACTTCCTTCTGGCTTCCATCCTCATTCCTATGGGGCCCCTGATTGCCCCACCCTTCTCCATGCACCCCCTTCCTCTGCCCGTGATTCTCTCTCTCTCTCTCTCTCCTCTCCACCACATCCTTCTCTGACACCTCTCTTCCTCCCTTCATTTCCTCTGGGAAAAAACAAACAAACAAACAAACAAACAAACCGGGGCACACTAAGGAATGAGGGAGACGGATGTGAGAGGAGGAAGGGGCTCTGTGAAGCTCCACGGAGTAGCAGGCCAGGCCTGGTCCGCAGCCTCCCCAGGCAGGACTGTGTCCTTGCCCAGTAGTCCTCTTGGAAAATGAAGGGAAGGGAAAGGAGCACTTTCATATGCCCATCCCCTGAGCATTTATGTGCCAGCTTTAAACAAGTTTTCCTTTTTACCGCAATCGGAGTCTCTTACTCAGTAGCTAAGAATGATCAAGTGCCACCTTCGTGCTGTCATCTACAGCACTAATTAGAGTAGTCTCTTTTGCATATTAAGTGGGAATAACTTTAAAATTTTGGAAAAGAGTTCCCTTAGAATTTCTACTGTCACATAAATGAGACAGTAACAGTTTGGCTTTAAAAAGGCCATTTTGGCTGGCTCAGTTGGAAGACTGTGCGATTCTTGATCTCAGGTTTGTGAGTTTGAGCCCCACGTTGGGTGTAGAGATTACTAAGAAAAATAAATAAACTTAAAAAAAAAATAGCCATTCAAATGATGTGCTCTTTATTAGTGAGATACACATTTGTGTAGGAGTCATTGGTAAAGGGGTCTTTTTATTTTTATTTAATTTTTTAAAGATTTATTTATTTACTTGAGAGAGAGAGAGAGAGAGAGAGTGTGAGAGAGAGAGAGTGCATGAGTCGGAGGAGGGGCAGAGGGAGAGAATCTTCAAGCAGACTCCCCTGCTGAGCGCGGAGCCCAACACGGGGCTCCATCCCAGAACCCTGAGATCATGACCTGAGCCAAAATCAAGAGTCTGATGCTTAACCGACTGAGCCACCCAGGCACCCCTAAAGGGGTCTTTTTACATCTTGAGGATATTTGCTATTAGGTCTACAATGTCAAACTTAAAAAAAAAGTCCTGAATGCAGAGCTGTGACTCAGAATATTTTAAATGACTGGGAAAATGGAACCTCCTGTATATGTTCTTATAGGGTCTTTCCTCTGTACACCTGGTTTGTGTGATCCTATCTCTATTCTGTTTCAAGCCTCTTCCCTGGCTCTTTACGGTACCTTGTCCAGCAGCACCTCGATTTGCTTCATGCTCTGCAGGAAAGGGTCCTGAAGTGGCCACGCCAAGGAGTTCTTGGAGATTTATTCCTAAAGTTAACAAATGATGAGGTAAGTTTTTAAAAAATCCTTTATAAACTAGAATTACATGCATCTGTGTCTGTCTTGTCTGCTTCTCTGAATGGAGAACTTCAAATCAGTGAGTTTCAGAGTTAGGAAAACTCCTGAGATCTAGTCCAACCTCCTCACTCTACAGATAATAAAGTAAAGTTCAGAGACATTAAAAGGCTTTGCTGAAATCACTCGGCTATCTAGGTAGTTGTGGATCTGTGACCCAAGTCTCCTAATGTCCAGGCCATCGCTTCCCACTATACTATGTATAACTGCCCCCATTGAATATGCACATAAATGTGTGTGTGCACTTGTGTATAAATATCTGTATCTCTGTAATGTTCTGCAAAGAAAATATGACCCAGGCCAGAGGTTGCAAACCCAAATGCCTACAGGGCCAGACGGTGATATAAATGAGTGGAAGTAAGCGGAATGTGATACAATATGGGCTATTGGGAGGTGAGCTTAAGTGGAACACATATGCTTGTCTACAGGAAATATTGTCCAATTATTATTCAGGAAGAAGGGACTAGAGTTGCCAGATCTTCCGGTATTTTACGAGACACTGGCAATCCAGAATTTTATGTGAAAATTTATTTTAAAAATATTGTGTGGGCTAATTAAAATTGGTCTGCAAGCCAGAGTTAGCCTGCAGTCAAACTCTGTATATCAATGATGTAGGTGATAATACAAAGTCTACAAATTATTTACTTATACGGGTGTAATGCAATCCCTCTAATACCATTTTTACTCATTTGTATTCAGTATGCTTTCTTGGGCTGAGAATTATTGTATCCGTGGGAATATAACTTTGGAAGCTGAGAATTGTTTTCCTAAAAGCATATTGCATAGATGAATAAGCAATTGGTGGAAATACACAATTAGTGGAAAAAGTTGAGAATCACTGGTCTAGACACTAGAAGGTGGGTTGGACGAAGTTCCTTATTGGATGGAGATGACAAATTAAAAGTAACTTAAAAACAAAATAGGCATTTTAATCATTTAACAGTTTAAAAATACTTTTTCAACATACGTGACTCCTCTCTGCTGCGTTGGTTTTTCACTTTCTCTCATTGAAACAGGACTATTGAGTTTTGGTTCCCAAGTCCATCGGGATATTTACCTTAAAACCAAAAAGATTTAAAAAATGAATTAAAAAACATATTAATGAACACATTAAATAAATGATTAAGATAATCTCTGCAAAGTACTCCTTTTTGATATACATGACTCTATAAAAATATTAGCTGTTATTCCTGTTTCCAAGTACTTAGCATGCATTTTTGTGTTTGTTTTCAAGAATAATTTCTTGGATTATTACGTTGCCTACCTAAGGGACCTGCCTGAATGTATCTCTTTGGTTCATGTTGTTGTTCTGAAGGAGGTAAGGTAACTCTATGTGTGTGCACTGCCCTTTGGTTACATGTGTACCTATAGGTCCTTGCTCATCCACCTCGGGGAATACAGTGCACTCAGCTTGTCTTCCAGGCTGGGGAATGGCTCGAGGAGAGCCACTGACACTCCTACTTGGGGTTAAAGGAGCCCACCCGAGGATGAGTGCCTGTGCTTTGGTCCTTGCCCTACTTTACTGACTCTCTTTTCTATTCCATTGGAAGTCTGCACAAAGTAAACAGGTGTTCTAAGCAGAGATCCTCAGGCTACATACAGCTTGCATGCTGTATGAGGGTTTTTTCCTCCCAGGCTCAGACAATTTGAATCAGAATATTAAACTCATCCTGTGTCTCTCAGTGTATAAGATCATAAAGTGGTTCTAATCATGTAGCTTTAAGTATTGCTACTACAATGTTATATTAGGTGCTCAATAAGCCCATATAAATATCTAACAATTCTAGTTATTTTAGGTCAGTAGGAAGAAACCCTATCAGAAGCCTAGAGTTAATAATTAATCAAGTTTCACAGGAGGTGAGGGTCTCTTTCTTATTAATGTCTTACTTCACCCCCCCCCACTACTCCCAACCCTATAAGTATAATGCCTACCACATGTTAGCACTCAGCAAATATCTGAGAAAGGGAAGGGAAGGGAAAGGAAGGGGAGGGAAGGGGATGGAATGGAATGGAAAAGAAGGGAAAGAAGGGGACATGGAGAAAATCCAACATGTTTCCTCTGCCAGCCCAGCTGACCAGTTCCTAGTTATACACTTTCTCTACCCTCATGAGGCTCCGATCCACCCTTAGTGCCTACCAGTAAGCCACTGTAATGAGTACTTCCAAGAGAATCTTAATGAATTTATTCAACTCAAATATAATTTATTGGTGCCCACTTCTGTCCAGCTCTGTGCTAAAAAGAGTGAGGGGGGGGAGTAGGGGGTAGTTTGGAAAGTTGGGTGGATTCAAAAGAAGTATATGATATGCTTCCCGCTACAGAAGAATTGTCTCCTTGAGCATGTCACTCCAATGAAGGATCCAATGAAGGATCATGACACTCTAGAGAAAGAAAATGCCTTGGGAATAAAAAAACCCTCCCTGCTCTGGTAGGACTGACTTTGGGGTTCTGCAGCCAGAGTTGGAGGGACACTGAAGAGTGACTCTACCTTTCTTTCATTCAGGGTGATGAAGAGATTAAATCTGACATCTACACACTGTTTTTTCACATAGTCCAGCGCATCCCTGAATATCTGATACATCTGCAGGTAGGCATGGCTGGGAAGCCACCAAACTGATTTTCAAGCTAAACTACTGTTTGTGGCTTGCAACTGAGAAACACGGTAAAGGGTCAAGGAAGAATCAGTGGTATTTCTAAGGAGTAATGAAATGATTTAGATTGCTGATTACCCCATTCCTAGTTTGTGGTATGAAATCTCAATCTCTAAAATTTTTGGCTCATGACGCCTGCCTTTGAAGTTCTATCTTCATTTACCAGCAATCGCCACCTCTGCTGATCCAGGATCTTTCTATAGCAGCTTCTGGTAGATTCTGAGTACTTATTCAGTCCCTTAAACCTTGTTCTACAGCCATCTAAATGTACCCCCAAACCCTTACCCCAGAGACTTGTATCTAAGAAGTATCTATGTAACCTGTCCACTTAACTGCTCTCCTGACTACTTTCTTTTGGCTTGAGTTCAAGGGCCTACCATATATTGCTCATGTTGTATGTCATAGAGAAAGCATGAGGAAGTTGATGAGCTGACTTCTGCACACCATTTTTCCCACAGCGCCCAACATGGGGCTCGATCCCAGGACCCCGAGATCATAGCCTGAGCCGAAATCAAGAGTCAGATGCTTAACTGACTGAGCCACCCAGGCACCCCAATAATTATCTTATTTAATGCTTTCAATAAACCCATGAAATAGGTATCATTACCATTGCTTAGATAAGGAAATGGAGAGCCAAAGAAATTAAGTAACTTGCCCAAGTTCACACACCTCATAGGTGAAAAAAATCTAGGACTGAAACCCAGGTCTTGCAAGCAGTATGATTCTACTGTCTGACTTGAGTTCAAATTCTGGCTCTGCTACTTGTTAGATGTGTTACCTAATGAAGATTACTTAACTTCTCTGTGCCTTGATTTCCTTACTTGTTAAATGGAGGTAATAATTGCACCTATCTAACCTAGCTGTGGTAAACATTAAATAAGAAGAAAACAAATCTGTAAAGGCGTTAGTACTTGGCAAGAGGAAGATTCAATAAATGTTAGATTTCCCATATCCAACTAACATGCATGTTCCCCTACTGTACATTAGGCAATATAATAGGAAGGACCACAAGGCCAGGCTTGATCATAAACATCATCCCCTTCCAGCCTGCCTTGATCCCTGACATTCTCACCATTGGCCTGACTCGTTTAGGTCATAAGGCATTGCTTATAGACAGTAATTGTTAGAATGATTCCATTATCTCAGAGATCTAATGAGTAGATACTTCTAATTTTCAGAAGGAATTATCCAACATTCACATCCAACTCAAACAGGAGCAATGGTGACTATTATTCTCCCCTGGTGTGATGGACAAAGAGAACAGCAGGTTTAACCATTCAACTTACAATTAGTATTGTTGTTCTGATTAAATGGCTACCAAACTCTCACAACAGATGGAGGCAAGGGGCACAAGAGACAAAAGTTTCATTCTAATTATGCAATGCTGCCTCCTTTTTATCTCCATCCAGAATGTCCTGAAGTTCACAGAGCAGGAACACCCTGACTATTACCTACTTCTGGTGTGTGTTCAGCGCCTTCGAGTATTTATCTCGCATTACACCCTGCTGTTTCAATGCAATGAGGATTTGCTTATTCAGAAACGGAAGAAGCTCAAGAAGTAAGCTTCTAATGGTGCCGTCTAGAGGGCTGACCAAAGGTTTCTGAGAACAGGGATCTAGACAGTCAATGTGGATACCTGTCACAAGTGACCTCATTGTATGTTAAGTGGCTGAAATGCATTGACGGGGGTAGAAGAGAACAGAGAAGAGGAGCGAATTGAGGTGGTCAGGTTGGCTTCAGGAGGGAGGGACCTATTACCTGGTGGTAAAGTAATTTCCATCAGGTAGTAGGTACAATTACTTTAGAGAAATAAAAACAGTTTTACTCTAATCCCTATGCAGGCCCCCTTCCTTGTGTTATTAACCACCTTGAAAATAGTTGTTTCCCTAAGCTTGCCAGGTCAAAAAAGTGCAGTTTAAAGGCCAGAATGTGGTTTCTTTCATGAACTCAACAGTATTTGTTGAGCACTTACTATGTATCTATGTACTGAGTATACTGCAATGAACAAAACAACCAAAAATCTTTGCCACATGGAGCTTACTTTCTAGAGCTGGACAGCCAGTTAATAAATAGATGGTGTAAGTGCTATGGATAAAAACAAAACAAATAAGGGTGGTGGTTGAACAAGTTTCACACTAAAAAGAAACAGTAAGAGCTGACTAGGGAGAATCTGGGCTTCAGAAGGAACAGAAACAACCCATAACAGAATTTCCTAATGACCTGGATTTCCTTCAACCTCATCCTGGCGCAACGAAGAAAACAATCATTTCTGTGGATATTTGAGAGCAGAAAAAGATGCCATGTTCCAAGCAAGTGCTCCCCTAATGGAGGACATCTTCCTATACCACCAGCCTTTTCCCTCAAACTTAACTCAGGAAATTAATCAGCATCCCTATTCTTGCCCAGCATCTAGCTTGCACTGTTATGTAAACAACCTGGTTTGTAGAGGACCATCGAGAGAGAGAGAGAGAGAGAGAGAGAGAGAGAGAGAGAGAGAGAGAAGGAGAGAGAGAGAGGGAGAGAGAACTTCACAGCTGAGCTGCATCTGAGAAATACTGTCTCCTTATCTTTCTTGGCATAATCTGTGTGTTCAGAGCCAATTTCCCACTATACACCCTGAAAATTATTACTTCCATTCTCATAGGTCATCCATGGCAAAGCTGTACAAAGGGCTGGCTTCCCAGTGTGCAAATACCGGACAAGATGCTTCCCCTACTGCAGGCCCCGAGGCTGTCCGTGACAGTGGGATCCACTCAGAAGAGATACTGCAACCCTACCCTTCTGCTCCCAGTTCGGGCCCTGCTGTCACGTAAGCACTTGTTGCTATGGAAAGGTTATATGACAACGCTCTTGGGTGCCAGGTCATCTGCATGGGGTAGCAGGACAGCCTGGAATAGGAGTATGACCTACAGGACTCTTCCCTCCCTCTTGCTCCATCAGGCCTATATACAGCAGGCAAGCAGCTGACCCAATGGTTAGATCCCAGAGGAAGGCTAATGTTAAGGGGCAGGCCTAGAGGCTGAAGGCTACTCCTAACAATTTTATCACACATAACTACCCTCTACCTACAGCATAAGTTTCTTTGGGTTTAGACAATGATTGAGTGGAAGAAAGTGCCACAAGAAGTCAGGAAGGCATCTTATAGCTCCTCAGAAGGGTGGGAACACACTTAAGTTCGCCAAAAGGTGTAGTAGAGGGAAAGAGAATCCCAGTCAGGGGTGAATGGAAGTTAAGACTCTGAGAAGAGAAATAGGCCTGAGGTGATGCAAAAAGAATGCTGTTTAGCCCTTCCCAATTCCCCTGGAAGCTTCTTCAGAAAGGGATTTCATATGTTTTCTTCACTTATGACAGCTTCTCTTTAAGCTGTTCTGTGCAGTGGATGTATTTGACAGCCTTTTAAAGTCTCTGCACACAACCCTCTAGCACATTAAGCTGGATTCTTATTCATCAAACTTCTTGATGATTTTTACATTAAGGATCAGGCCATTTATATATATTTGGAACTCTTTACCTCTGAAGGATAAGGATAAAGTCAAAGTAGCTACTTCTGCAATCAGGATTTCTGGAAAGATAAGGGAAACTAAAACTCCAAAATCCAAACCCAGCACTCTGTCATATACAATTCTCACAAAAGTAATTCCTTAGACTATAATCTCTGCTTTGGGTTTTATTATTTTAAGGAAAATTAGAAGTTTTAGCTACTTTTCTTTTCTAAAATTACAATGAAGTAACGGGTAGGCAACTGAGATTATTTCAATTTTTAATCACTACAATTTTTAAATGCCAATTACAATCATTGTAAGGAGTATCTGATCAGTAATGCAAAATAAACTGTTTCCTTTCTGCCTTCATCTCTTAAAACTGAACATGTATCATTGAAAGACGGAAGTGCAAATATGGAAAGAGAGAGAGATTCCATAATCATTTTGGACCTATGAGACATTAACCTTTCTATAAATAGAGCCCAGGAAGATCTTCTTCTTATAGAGAAAATCCCACAAATCCTGTAGAGGAGAACTCCATACAGAAAAAATACCTTTCCTGAGTGGAGAGTAGGAGATAGGCAGGAAGAGAGTGTTTACTTTGTGGGTCACCTCAGGTTTTATAACAACAATAAAGCTATCTTCTTTGAAGTGCAACAAATAGAGCCCCCAAAAATGAAATCCCTAGAGATTATAGCCAGACCAAAAAGATGGTTGCCATTGCACTCTATGTTGGGAAAATGGCCAGTAAAAAATTTGTTCTCCAAGTGAAAAGACGATTCAAGTTAGGTCAATATTTCATTTTATCATTTCTTTTCACCTTTGAGTGTGAGACCTCATTTTCATCTTAAGATTACCAGAGAAAGATACTCAGTATTTGCATCTGTTTTTTCTTTTTAATACATCTGCACTTTTAATGCATTTTTGTGGTAGAATTAATAAACTATAAATAAATAAAAGGTTGGGTCAGTGTGTAGTCATGCACTCACATCTGCCTGGCAATTACCTTCCACCAGAACTGGCAAATCCCATCCAATCTGATGTGTATGCTACCCTAATACCCTATGTAAATTATTCATTACTCATGATTAAACATGAAATTGGGCTTATTTAGAGTGAGAACCTTTTCATTTTGGTGGTTGTTTTTGTCGGTGAAAGTTTGAGACGACCTTATAGAGCATGCTCTATAGCCACAAAATTTTTTAGCTTTTTATTATGAAAACTTCAAATATATACAAAAGTAAAGTGTACAGTGAACCCCATATGCCATCATCCAGGTTCAGCAGTTTTAATTGTTCTTAAGCGTGAAGATCCATGAGTCAGACAAGAGTTCTTTCCATTATTTTGTATCATACTGCTAGGGCAAGAAAAGGAGAGCAGAGAAAAGGAGGTACCTTCGGGCTCTGGACACGTGGTGGGCGGGTCAGAGCTTCCACGTGCCAAGTGATGACCATCCTTGGCTGACCTGCCATCTCTATGCACAGCCTCCTTGCTCCAACGGATACTCCGGTCATCTGCTTTACAGATGGCATTTTCACCCTCCCACGTGAGCGACCAGGGCTCATGGGGACTCCCTTAGCTGGAGAAGCCTGTGGAGCTTGGTAGGTGACACACGTAGGCGCCTGGGGGGGCAGAGAGGAGAGGCAGTTCTGTGTCTAAGCGGTAGCTGGCCGACACGTGTTGCTCCCGGCCTCAAGCTTCGGGGAGAGGCCTGCACTAACCAGTCGTAAGCACACCTCTTTTGTATTCTGTTTCCCCTTTAAAGACATTTGATGCCCCCAGTGAAGAAAAGCCAACAACAGCAAAGCCTGATGGAGAGCATGCAGCCTGGGAAACCCAGTGAGTGGGAGATGGAGGGCAGAAAGCACGAGAGGCCCGAGAGCCTCCTGGCACCGGCGCAGTTCTGTGCGGCCGAGCAGGACGTGAAGGCGCTCGCCGGGCCCCTGCAGGCCATCCCCGAGATGGACTTCGAGCCCTCGCCCGCCGAGCCGCTGGGCAACGTGGAGCGCTCCCTGCGCACCCCAGCCGAGCTCCTGCCCGACGCCCGCGGCTTCGTGCCCGCGGGCTACGAGGAGTTCGAGTACGGCGGCGAGATCTTCGCGCTGCCCGCGCCCTACGACGAGGAGCCGTACCAGGCCCCGGCCCTCTTCGAGAACTGCTCGCCCGCCTCTTCCGAGTCCAGCCTGGACATCTGCTTCCTGCGGCCCGTCAGCTTCGCCATGGAGGCCGAGCGGCCCGAGCACCCGCTGCAGCCGCTGCCCAAGAGCGCCACGTCGCCGGCGGGCAGCAGCGGCGCCTACAAGCTGGAGGCGGCGGCGCAGGCGCACGGCAAGGCCAAGCCGCTCAGCCGCTCGCTCAAGGAGTTCCCGCGCGCGCCGCCCGCCGAGGGCGTGGCCCCGCGCCTCTACAGCACGCGCAGCAGCAGCGGCGGCCGCGCGCCGCTCAAGGCCGAGCGTGCCGCGCAGCCGCACGGCCAGGCCGCCGCCGCCGCGGCTGCAGCCGCCCGCGGCGCGCCCAGGACCTTCTTTCCCCAACAGAGGTCCCAAAGCGAAAAGCAGACCTATTTGGAAGTAAGGAGGGTAAAGTAAAACCGAACCCAAACCCACAGCGCCGGCAGCCCCGGGCCTAGATCTCCAGGGAGCAGACTGGGCTCCCCTAGCGTGGAGGGGAAAGCGGGCAGGCCAGAGGGGGAGCAGAGGCCGCCGAGGGAGAGCCCCGGTCGGAGGCTTGTCCGTCAGGTGCCCCTGGAGGCGAGCAGTAGGGCCCGTTCTGTAGTGCCAGGGCACGAGGGCGTGTCCTGCATGCGTATGTATGACGGCAAAGAGCCAGAAGAGAAGACGGACTCTTAGACCTGTCTACACCGTCACCACCCTGCCCCACACCTCCCCCGTACAGAGAGTTAGGGGTGTTCTCTGCCTTGCTGCTTAAGCCGTGGCACCTCACAGTTGCACTTCACATTCAGAGTCCTGCACGCTAGTCCCAGACCTGTTTCGTCCTCTGCCTGGCCAGGCGCACCTTCTCGTGGAAGTGTTCCAAATACAGAACCCCATGTGCCGGCCTGCCCCTCTCCCTGACCCGCACTAGCCCTGCTTGTAGCTAGGGAGGAGGCAGGTTGCCCCGACCCACTGTGGACTCCCTGCAAAGTCTGTGGCAAATATGACCGGAAAAGGGTGTCACGTTGCTTTGCAGATTCCACTGGGACAGAGACAACACAATATAGTCAAGGAGGCTTGGGCTCGCAAATACCTTCTTTGGCGTCTCCATATCAGTGTTTAGTATTTTGATGTCCAACCTTGCTCTCTGCAAGCCTTGGGACGTTTAAAGGGGTGTTTAAGTACATATCCATGAAAGGGCTAGTAGTTCCTGAGCAAACACTTAATTTCTCTGCATATGATTGGAACAACGCAATTTCTGATTAAGCAGAGAGTAACAGGATAGCTTTGACCTCTGCCACCATCCTTTCTGTTTAACCTCGTTTTGAGAGTGGTGGTTAGGATTTACAGGGCAGCTCTGTATTGGTACATCTTGAAAATGATACAGTCTAGGACTAACTTGTATCAAGCTCTGGAGACCTTTTGCCTAGACTAAAGGAGGTTTTTCCAGGAATAAGGGCCCTATAATCCACCTATTCCCATTTCCAAGTGAGTGGGGGCAGATTGAGGATCACTGACTCCTTTCATTCATTCATTTTTCAGCAGACAGCTAAGGACAGGGTTCAGAAATGAATGGCACCTAAGTCTCTGTCCTCCAGGACCACTGGCTTGTCGCAGGAAGGAAACACAGAAACACAGAATTATAATAAATTGTGGGAACACATGGGAGGGGTATTTAAACCCTGCTGGGGGTGATGGTGGACAGACAGGGCCTCCTGGATAAATTGAATGTCTGAATTCAATTTTAGAAGCTGCCTAGATGAAGAGTGAGGCAGGGAAATATGAAAAAGGCTCATGAGTCTTTTTTAAAAACAGCAGGGTGACGCTTTTCCTCTTGAATACTGTGCCAGGTGGGACTGGTGGACATCAGGCCAGAGGAACAGTAAGGGGCTGGGTCATGAAGTTCCCTGGAGCCGGTAGCTAGCCATCTAGACTCCAGGAATCAAAGTCTGACTGGTTCCTGAAGAGGGACCTTCGTATGCTCAGCTAAAGTTGCTGAGATTCCCCAGAGTTCTGAGATTTTTTTTCTGGCTTTGATTTTCAACTCTGAACTTCACAAAATTTTGTTAGGCAAAATTTCTTAGGCAAATCAATCTTAGGCATGTGTCAAAGTTTAAAAGTTCACTAAAAAGGGAAGTAGGTAGGAAATAATAATGCCAATTCAAATTGACTTGAAGTAGGCAGAGATTAACATGTAAAACCTTCTAACTAGTATAGTCTAAGCTGCAAAGAATGCTTTTATTTCACGTGTTCATAAAAGTCTTCCCCTCCCCCAGTTAATATGTGAAAAATGGGAGTTCAACAACTGACAGGGAAAAAAGCCCAATCAGAAATAACAATATATCTGAGAAGCAAACGATGAGTAAAATATTTGTGGCTATTTATCGGACATACCAGATAACAATAAACAGTATATTATGTACTGTTAATCAGACATCCTGGACAGCAAGCTTCATCCCCTAACAGTGTAAGACACGAGTCAAGTCGGTTTAGAAAGTGACAATAAGATGTCAAATAGAGCTCAGTTAAAAGAGGCCTTTTCTCTTTCAGTTATCAGTAAATTTTTCAAGCATGTGAATTTTTCATACAAAGTTCACCTTGCTTATTATTTCTGCTTTTGGACAAAAACTTTTTCTTTCTAAAAATTCAGAAGGTGTGGATTGTTGGGAATCCTAGAGAGAAGGTGGAATACAAAGTCCAGGTGGGCAGAGGCTGTGTGTGGGTATGTGTGTGCATGTGTGTATGTGGGCAGGCATCTGTACGTGTATATATGTGTAATGTGTGCGTGTTTGTATGTTTGTATGTGAGTGTGAGTGGTTGAGGTGGGAGTGAGATGGGGTTGTAGTTGTGAAAGATGAACCCTTCAAAAGCCTATCTTTAAAGGTGTCAGCTCTTTCCTGTTGAGATGTATAAAGCTCCTACTATTTCATCTCCTTAAATATACTCTGTGTATCTTCCACCCCTGCCCCGCAGAGCCAGCTAAACCCTGTCTCTGAGAGTCAGGAAAGAAGGCAGCGTGCTTTAGTGCAAAGAGCACCTACCTGGGTGTCAAGAAATCTGGGTTCTAGTCCTGGCTTTGCTGCCAAATAGCTGTGTGCTTTTGGACAATTCACTTGGCATCTCTGTACCTCCAGTTTTCTCATCTGTAAAATTAAGACAATATATACCTTAACTAACTCACAGTGTTGTTGTGGGCATCAGGCCAAATAAGATAAAGTATGTGAATATGCTTTGTAAAGTATGGAATGCTATACAAATGCAAGATATTATCAAGATCATGATTGCACAGAGAGATTTTCCTTAAACTTAATATATTTAGTTCCTAAACAGTCCCTAAAAGCCCAGTTTTCAAAATGTGGTCCTTAGACTAGTGGTAAATGCATTCATTAACCTGGGAGCTTATTGTAATTGCAGAATTTGGGCCCCACCCCAGACCTACTGAATCAGAGTCTGCATTTTAGCAAGATTCCCGGGCGACTCATGTGAACATTAAGTGCAGGTGGGCAGGACCATACCTTAAACCACTGGTTTTTCAAAAAAGTGTGCATAAGGATTACCAGGACCTAACTCCAGAGTTTCTGATTCTGAAAGTCTGGGTTGGGGCTCAGGGCAGTACATTTTAAATAAAAGCCCCAGTTGATCCTGTTGCCCCAGGACCACTTTGAGAAACCCCACACTAAGCCATCAATATGTTGCTCTCCATAGTTTAATAATGAATCTTAGTAGCGTCTTAGAGGACCTCTAGATCTGCTACTGTAACCCCAAGTTAAATTCTCAAAGTCAAACCCATGTTTCCTGAAAAAAAAAAAAAATCATCCCAACGCCTCACTTCACGGTCCGCAAGCGGTCACCCACCCAATTCATGAAAGTTTCAGGGTGGTTTTTGCTTTGACTCCTTGGGTTCTCTTCTTAGGTTCAAAATGAAGCAACTAGATTATTTGAGGTTGCTTTTAAGTCTCAGTCACCTCACAGTAAATATTTCATTCATATGGACATAAATATAAGTGCATATCTATTTTATTTAGCACATCTCACACTGAAAAAGAAACTAGAAAGTTCACAGAAGATAGAGCCTTATTTTTTTATTAATTTTTACCTAACACTGCACATACCACGGATTAAGAATGCCAAAAACTATATTAAAGTTGTATTTGCAGGTTGGAGGTGTGTGGCAGGTACACATAGACACGTGCG